AAGCATAGATCTAGATTTTGATTGTAACACAGATAGTACTCAGTGTTCTGGCCCGTGGCATTGGCAGAATATCCTCCCTCATATTCAAGCTTATAAATACCTGCACTAAAGGTAAGACAGCTGCCCTATCTTTCTCTCTTTAATCATGGCTGGTTCACACATGGCACCATGCATGGAAGGAAATTCTGTCACAGCTGCACCTCTTACAATTAGCAGACTCTAGATACAAGTTCCATGTGTGCAGCAGCCATTTCTCTGCTGTGCCATTAAAAAAAAATTAAAAATCAGGTCAACACATGTGTGACTTGCTTATTTCAACTTTTCAGGTCACTGAATAAAAGAACACTCGAGGTTCTTCAGGTGCCCCAGAGCCTGTCTGGCTCTCAAGAACAAATATTTTGTTAAAGGAAAAGCAATACATTCCCAAAAGACAAAATAAAAAAGGATTGAGAATAGCACAATACTAGATAAGTGATTCAATGCTGACATTTTCATGGACTCATTATAGAAAAGCGTATCAGCTGCACACGTTAGTACTGCCAGAGCAGTAAAACCTGACAGAAACATCTCTCAAGAGATTAAAGGACTGACCATTGGCAGCATTTTCCTGCCATAAACCAATTTAATTACATTATTCTTTAAATTGCTGACTTGGTATGACTAGCTTATTCATGTCATAAAAGCAAATGAGCAGAGCCCAAGGACAAAGTATTGCTTTGTTTCTGCTTTTGTTTGTAATCATTCTTTGATCAGAGAATACCACTGTTAAGGTCCTGCCAGGGCCTAGCACGAGGAAGTGGGTTTACATGAGTTACTGCCAGACAATATCAATACAGGCACTCTTAGGCTGTTGTGCCAAAGCAAGCTGTCATTGGAAGTCAAATAATATTGTTTCGGTACAAAAGAACACAGAGCCTAGCAATCTAGACAACTTTTATTTTCATGAGTCAAGCTACCAGCCTAGAACACAAAGGAAAAAATGCAAAAATACCCTTAACTCTAGACCAACTCAGAATCAGAAGTCTTTTTTTCATCATATTATTTTTAAGAATGGCACCAAAGGATACCTAAGCAAAGAAACTTGGCTATGCATGAGGGGTGTTAAGCTTTAAGACTTATACTAGGAAGAAACTATTGACCAGAAGAAACCGTAAGAACAGTTATCTGTTTCAGTTTCATTGGCAGAGCTGGCTCACAATCAAGTTGTTGTGTTGAACAACGTCAAACACAGCAGGGAAACAGCTTACAGTGCTATGATGTAGGGATGCTGGCAGACTTTAAATTTTTTCTAAGGAGTATGTAAAAGGTAGCTAAAAAAGCAAGCCTTTTTCTGGCACATTTATGTTTGCTATACTGCATTATACCAAGATTAATGTTATGATGACTGAAAACGCTAAAAACTGCTGATTCTCTTCTCTCCTATTCTACCAGGAATTAGGTACCATGACTTGGAGAGGAGCTGGGGATGGGCTTGTAATTCCAACTAGGTTAATACTAATGTTGAAATAAAATAATTATATGCCTTTTAGGAAATGTTATATCCATTGTGTAGATTGACTATATTTTTGTTCACTGTGGTGCCTTGTATAAATCACGTATCCAACAAACTTTAGTACTGCTACATAAGAATAGAAAAGGGTTCTTAACTTGTGGACTGTGTGGCTCCCATGAAGCTGGGCAAAGAGTTGGGAGTCGTCACCTCAAACTCTCCTGCTGACTAGTGCAGCGTGACCAGAATGTGTGGTTTAAGTGTCAAAATGGCTGTATTTACTGGCACTGCTAACTAACAACCTGGGAGCTGTCCAGTCCATGAAAGATGCCTTGGGTTCCCCCGTAACCATGAATATTCCTGTATCATATGACCTAGAGACAAATGTGTGCTTTTGGTTGGAAAATAAAAACTAGCAGTTCTTTGAAAACAGTTTACCTTGTGGTATCCTTTCACGGGTAGTAAAATAACAATAATTTCAATAAAGAAAAAGGTAAGAGGTGGGTTTGCTGTCCTAGGAAAGGGTTAAAATACAGGGATGCACTCAGCATTGGAGGATTAGAAGACATAATGAGAAAGAACATTATAGAAGTGAGAAGGGAAAGGCGGCAGTCTTCTGTGTAAGCACATCTGCTTCTTGGGAGGAAGATTTATGACACCTTTTTACAGATGTGAAGAACTGTGAAGAAAAGCAACGCCTGTATGTTAGCCTTCCACAGTGGTGGTCCCCCCTAGTCCTCTGTTTTCTGTAAGTGCTCTTCTTCAGTCAAGTACCTACCATCACCTTCCAAGAAGTCTTCTCTACTCACCGACCCCATGACATAACACCGTTTTCTTGTTACAGGGTTCTCACTCAAAACCTCTTTACATCCTTCTGGAAATCACTGGTTCAGGAAGAGAACTACACATGCACAGAATTTAGCATCAGGACTGAACTCCTCCTTTTCAGATTTGCATTCTTGCCCCTGTTCCTTCTTTGAATCCCAATGTTTGTCTGCAGGCTCCATGCTCTCTCCCCTTCCAAACCATTGCTGCTGCCCAGTTCACTGGTTGTCTTTCCACAACTTAAGTGTCTTCTTGTCTTTGACAAATGTACATTTTTGCAAAATGAGCAGTTTTAGCTTGGTTCTAAACAGTAGTGAAGTTTCTAATTCTTACATGTCAAAGCTGGGCTAAATATTGAGGCTGGTGCGTTAGAACCCTACCCTTGAGGTCTGGGGCTTCCTGCTTGACTGCTATTTCCATGCTCCTAGAATTTTGATTGTGTCAAGGAAGTCCCACTTTGAAGGACTCAGTGCCTCACTCCCTACAAAGGCTGAGCAGAATCCATAACAGACGCATTCGTTTCCCTCAGTCATTTGGAAAGCCCAATCAAAGACATACCACAGCTGAGACAGGCTGCCAGGAGGAGTTTTGGCTTCGGAGTGTAGATGTGGCTTTCTTTTCAAAGGTACTCACTGGTTTTTCTGTAAGTCAATTGGTTACAGAAACCTGAAAGACCCAAGCCATCTCTCAGCAGAAACCTCTGAGATCTAAGACAATGATTCCAGCAGTGGTGAGCAGTGACAGTTGTCCTTGCCCCTGCTGAAGCTGGGTCACTGCAAGAGTAAGTATAAAACCCATAGCCCAGTAGGAAAGGGAGACACAGCACAAGAAAGGGTATTTACTTGGAAACTTCCACAGGGAAAGATGGGGGGTAGGAGCTGTGTTACCTGCTATATTCACAGATGGACTAACATGCAGAGGTACCTCTGGGGTACAGATGCAATACTCATCTGTGTGCAGGACCTCCAAACACCTTCCCAAACAAACCTACATACACAAGCACACTCTAGGAAGAAAACCTCTCCTGTTCCTAATGTACACTCTGAAACACTCTGAAACCCATTACTCCTTAAATTCCAGTACCAGAGTCTGAGCCTTCCTTCCTCTTGTTGCTTCTCCAGACTTACAACTGGTAAATTCACATCTTCCTGTGTCTGGGATAGCAGATGCAGTAATGATGTGGACTGTAAATATGGTCAGCTCAGCACCAGCTTAAGCCAGGCAGAGCTATTACAACTTTTGACGAGGTTTTTATTGTTTGTCTTTCCTCACAGACCAACCACTCCTGTTCTAGGTATCTGTATTTGGCTCTTTCTACTGGACATATTGGTATGAGTATGTTTAAGCTGAGTTAAATGGGACCTGAAAGGCAAGGAATTCCAATGTTGTCCTCCTAAAGTCTGACATGTATTTCCCTAGAACTAGAAATGTTATTATGTATATGAATCTTTTTGGAAGAAGGTATTAACTGGTATTAACTAAAGTCACCCTGTTTTAGTTGTCACTGCCTGTCACTTGATATAGTGCACTGATGGACTCAAGTGGAAGGAAGACAGAAGTAGTGATAGAATAGTGGCAGCTTTCATTTGAACCTCTCAGTTAGTTGGGCTTGTTATAATCTTCATGGAACGTTTTGTGCGGTATCATGTCTCCTAAACTAAATGACAGAAAAGTAAGCCACATTTCTAGTCCCTCAGCACTGCTCTTAGAATGGGTAATGGTTAGCAAAACACGTAACAGGATGGGTGAGAAGTCTTGTTTGGGACAGTATTGCCACCTGAAATGCAAGGAATTCCATCCCATTCCTAGCTTTCGCCAAAGATCCATCTACCTAGAAAGGGAGCGTAACACTGCCCTGACTATTAAAACCAGCCAGGGGGAGCTCTCAGCATGCGTGCACAGCCAGGATGTGGCCAGGAACTGAACTCTGGCGTCACCAGTTCATCTCAGTATTGGGTAGTTGCTACTGTTACTGCACTAAGACCAAACCCTGCTGGACTTGAAGGAACAGCAGTGATAACGCCCAGTATGAGTCTTGAAAACAGTCCAAATGACCATTGCCAGGAATCCAGCTGAGAGGTCTCTCCATAACACTGGGTGTAGATGCCCTGACTGCAAAACAGAACTCTTCCTTGCTTAAGAAAACATTGGAGATGCCTCTAGAGCTCTCTTTTCAAAGTTGTGCCAAGCAGTATTTTAGAAAGGATGCACCCAGTGAAAAAAAGCTGCACTAGAACCTTGTACATGCAATGGTCCAGGAAATCCATTTCTGCTGGCCCGACACCTCTCTGGAGGTCATGGTACAACTGGAAATTAAGATGCTGAGGCATTGACATAGCAGCAGAGGACACATGGAATGACTGTAGCATATGAACTGACATGGTCCTGGTACAACTTGACCAGCACACCCACAAGACTCTTCAGATGAAAGCAAACCTTAAACTGCTCCTTAATCTGTTGTAAGGATGTAATGCATGCATGTTAGCCTCATCTTTCTCCATACAAGCTCTCTCTTTCTTAATCTCATACACCCCCAAATTGATTCCCCTCCCCTGGCACTTAGCTGACTTCCAAGGAAGCAAAGCCCAGCTTACAATTATACTAAGACAAATATCAAAGTGAGGACCTGTCAGATACTTTAATGTGTCACATTTTTTCTGGATTTTGACCTGAGGTGTTTGCTTACCTGAGAGCAACTAATTCCAGTAACCAGTGAATTCGGACTTGTTCAATGCCGCCATGCGGAACAGAAGAGATGTAGGCAAGGTTCATCTCTTGGTCTTTGCTCAGGTCAAACAGGTCAGCACGGCTGTGAGGTAAAGGAGGGCTTCAGGAAAGCAGGGACAGAAAAGAAACAACACATTGCAACATTAACTAGCAGCTCCACTGGGTATCCAAAGATCCCTATGCTAAATCTCTACACCACCCGCAAGACCCTCCATGGCATGAGGAGCACTGCCTAACATGAAATTTAAGCAAAATGGAGTTGCAAGTTACCTGGGGCTAACTGGCTACACATTTAGTTTGGAAAAGCAGAACACAACTCGGGTGCATCTCACTGGCACGCTCGAAGGAAAGTATTACAAGCAGTCATTGCTGCACAGGTAGCAACCTCAGGCAGCAGTGTCTTGAAGAAGCCATACAATGGCAGTCATCTTGTCTCTGAGTAATTGATGATAAATGGAGCTCAGAGTCTTTTAGGCTTTGGAGTGGAAGCCAGACTTGCTCAGGTCTGCAGTAAGACAAATATGGGCTTGATCCTTCTGCTGAAGTTCATGCAATGACATCAACTCTTGCTCTGCTGTGGAAGCTATGGTTGTTAGAAGCAGAATTAGACCCTCAGAGCCTCCACATTCTTTGGCCATGTTCTACTCACCCCTAAGCATAAGGAAGTACAGGAGTATTGTGGCTCAAGGTTTCTATGTTTGATGCCGCAAGCAGTTTAACCTGCTCACGGCTGTACAGCACTGATCATGTTAACATGATTTTGATGTCTACTTATTCCACTGAAATTAACATAACAGTGGGGCAGATTTCTGCTGCCTCTGTTTCCACAGATGCTGCTAGATGGAGGGAGATGTCACCCCCACCCTCCACAAGTCAGAAACTTAGAACGCTGCCCAGTTCACTGGGTTTGGGCATCCTTAGAGATCCTCATTAAGCCTCCTGGTAATGTGCAAATTCTGAATGCTAAAGCATTTGCATTTCAAGAAAGATAAAACAACACTGTTCCCAAGGTTTGGTAAAATACTCCCACGTGTCTTCACATTGCAAAGAGAGATGACTTGTGCTCTAACTACAGACTGTATATTAACTGAGTAAGTGAAGAAGTAATACAGTTTATGCTTTGCCTACTGTGATCTGTCTCCTCTGATGGGCAAATCAGCTCTGGGCTGACTGTAACTATGCTGGGAAGAGTCATATTGTCATTCCCTCCTCCTCTGTTTTCCTCCACAAGTTCATCCCGCCTCAAAGGACCTCACTGAATGAACCTGCTACTGTAGAACCATCTGTGCCCAAAGATGGGAAAACCTGACCCCACCTGGACAAGAACCTGTTGCAACTTTTGTCCTAGCTAAGACACTGCCTATTTATTACCTCATCTCCTGCATCCTTATCTGAAACTGCAAGTCTCAACACAGATTACATCCCTGTAGTGCTTCATACAAATCAACCTGCACATGTGAGCCCCTCTGGCAACTTTATCAGCATAAAGCCACTTAAAAATCATCTCCCTGAAATTGCTTCAAGTCATACAAGTGAGACTGAGAAGTTACCAATCCCACTTTTACTAAAAATGTACCAGCCACTTGAGTCTTTTTAATTGTTCCAGTGGATGAGGACAATGTTAACTGTTGCTTTTTGAAGGAGTGCTTTACTACTGCTCTGAGATTCAAACTTGCACCAGTGTACTGCTTCCATTCAAGCAGTGGCAAAGATGGAAGTCAAAGCATAAAGCAAGCATTCACATATTTTTGCTTAGTGCACACTGAATAAACACTCTGAAATTTACATTTTTCTAGAGAGAAACATAGAAGAAACCATGACAAGATACAAAAGAAAGCTGGGAAAACAGCAGGTTTTGTTAGTGGTAATATCAGTATCTGCCCCTTCCTGTTCTGAGTGGAAAGTGCTTTTCATGTTTGCAGCTTTCCAAAGTTTCCTTCACACAGTTAAAATCATGGGGTTTCTTGGGCTGCAATTTAAATGGGCAAAACACACTGGTTTTAAGGCAGTTTTTTATTAGTGTTTCCTAACATTGCAAGCAAAAATTAAAACTATAAATGAAAAAGAAAATCCAGAAAGCCCAAACATTTCTCTTCATCAGAATGTACTTTACGTCCTGTTCTGTTTTCCCACCAACATGGAAAATTTTTAAAGTTTTGTCTTAGACTACTTTTATGCATTATACAAAAAAAAGTGCACAAATTCCTTTTCATCCAAAGCACATGCTGCTGATTCCATCCCTGTTCATAGAATCATAGAATCATAGAATGGTTTGGGTTGGAAGGCATCTCAAAGATCATCTAGTTCCACCCCCCTGCC